AATAAAACTAAATAATATAATTATATATTTATAATAGCTATACTGGGTTTAAAATACTATTTTTTACTTATTTTTTTACTTAATATAAATATAGTAATACGCGTTATAAAGGTTAAGTTTAATAAAGTATTATATATTTATTAATTAATTTATAAGTTTATTAATACAAGGTAATAAATAATAATTTTTTTAGGTTATTATATTTAAACCTTAATAATTAATACATAAATGCAAAAATTTGTTTACTTTTTAAGTAAAAAAAACAGGTACTTTTACTAAACTTTAAAATAGCTATATTTAACCCCTTACTAGCATTTTATTAAAATACTTTTTTAAAATTAATAATTTATAATAAAAAAGGCTATAAATAAGCCCCTAAAAAGGTATTTTGCCTTTTTTTAGAAAAATCTTATAATATACTTTCTTACTTAAAAGTTAAAACACCCCTTTTTTAAAAAAGACCTAATTTTATTTAGTATATTAAAAAGGCAGGACTATAACTAGTACGCCTTTAATTTTTTTTAGTTTATATAAAATTAAAAGCACAGGACCCTTTTTTATTATTTTAATAAATTTTTTTACTAGTTTAATTTAAAAGCATGGGGTATAATACCGCTAACACCATTAACTAGTAGTTAAAAAAATATTTAAATTTACTTTAGTTATTTAAGGCTATTCAAGCACGGCTTAATACTTATTATAAACAAGATTAATAATATAAAATATTATATTAAATATCTTTATCTTATTAACAAAATCACGAATTTATATTTTAGCCTTAAATTAGCTATAGTATAAAGTAATTTTTTTATTAGTATACTAAACTAGTTGCAGCATCTAGTTTATAGCTATTTTAATTTTTTACTTTTTTAAAAACTAAACTAAAAAAAAAATTTACACTAGCCCTAGTATTTAGTAAAGCTTTAAATTATTTATTTAAATTATTTTTTTAAACTTATAGATTTACTAAAATAGGGAATGCGGTAGGTTTATTTATACTAGTTAAAGTTAATAACTTAGGGCCTAGTAATTACTATTTAGTTTTTAATTTTTTATTTACTTTTATTTTAATTAAGTAATTTTTTATAAAATACCCTTCCGCGCTGTATGTATAATAATAATTTTTTTTTTATTTATCTTATTTTTTAAGTAAGAGCTAACGCTTGGCTTGCACTAGCTTTTACTTATTAGTTTTACTCTTAAAGCTATAATAATTTTTTTAACCTTGCTTTTTTAAGGGCTGCCCTAATAAATTTTAGTTTTCCCTATTTATTAAAATACCTTTATTTTAGCTTTAGTTAGTACCTTCTACTGGATTCTTGTTCTTTATAATAAAAGGGTTTTTATTATTTTTTTTTAGCTATTATTTCTAGGCGCTCTTTACTTTTCGCGTGCTAAAATTAACTTATATTAAGTTATTTTTATATTAATACCTTTAAAAATAGTTAAAAAATTCTGCAGGCATGCTATATACTATTAATATAGCTTATTTAATATATAAATATAAATAATAGCTTTTTTAGCAGTGCCCCGGAGGGGGTTAGGAACTATTTTTTAAAACTTTATTAATTATATTTTTAGTAATTAGCTATTTTATTAGTTATTTATAAAATACTTTATTTTTTAACCAGCTTAATCTTTTTTTAAATTAACTTATTAATATATAAATTACTTAAATATTGCCCACGTGGGTAGCTTAATAAGCTTTTTTTATTTTATATATTATTTATATTATATATTTTTTTTAACTTTATTTATTAAATAAATAACTTTACTTATTTTAGTGCTATACTACATAAGGGCTTTATTAAATATATTTTTAAAATTATTAAAAAATATTTTTAATTTTATTAAGTTCTTGCTATTAAAAATCTTAATATTTAAAGGTTTTAATTTTTTTAACTTAGGCTTATTTTATAATAATTACCGTGCTAATACTTTAATAACCTTATTTTTAATAAATATTTAAGGTTATTTATACGCTTAGTCCTGGCCAGGTAGTATTTTACTTATAATACTATTATTATTATTTAAGCTTAATAAGTTAAATAGCTTTTTAAGATTTCTAGCAGGTAAAGGTGGCTTATTTAGCTATTAATTTTTTTTAATTTACTAAGCTATTTACTTGCCTTTATTAGGCTTTAATTTTAATAATATATTTTATTATAATATTATAATAAATAGCCTAGCCACAGGCATCCCTAAGGTAATATTTTTAATTAAAATAGCACTTATTATAATATATTTAGGGTTAATATACTATATAGGATTTTTAAAAAGGTAAGGTAATAAAAAATTTTCTTAAGCCTTACTTACTAAAAAAAATAAGTTATTTAATTTATAATTTAAGTTATTAACCTTAATAACAAGGGTGTTATTATATATTAATAATATAGGTTTAGGTAGGGATAATAATCCCAAGCTTTTTTATATTTAAGTTTATATTTTAAAAACCTTAACTAAAATAGCTCTAGTTTATTTTTATTTATTTAAAAATTTAGTTTAAAATACCATATTAATAATATTTAAAAATTAATAAAAAAAATAATTTTAATTATAAGGGCGCCCTAGCACCTAAATATTTTTTTATTAATAATAATAAAGCTTAGTAAAGTATTTTTAACTAATAAAAATAAAGTATTTAAAACCTTAATAAATTTAACTAAAAAAATTACTTAAAAAACTAAATATATTATAGCCTTTAGCCTTTTTATATAGGCCTTGCCTAAAGGCTTAAGGCCTTTAAGTAATTTTTTAAGTTATTTTTATTTAAAAAATAGGTGGTATTTAAATATTTTTGTATTTACACTTTTTATAACTATTTTTTAATTATTAAGGTAATTTAGTATAAGGCGTGCCTTTATTTTACTACTTAAATAATACCTAAAACCCAAGGTTCCTAAGCTAAGGTCCCTAGTTAAAGTTAATATTATATTAAACCTAATATTATATTAAATTTAATACTATATTAAGTTTTATATAATAATTTATAATAATAAGGTTTATTAAGCTAAATAGGTGCCTAAGGCATCCCGCACGGGTGACGTTAATGCTTCGCGGTGGCGTGACCTGGGTGCCTCAGGCATCGCTTGATGGCGTGACCCGGATCAATGTCGGCCCTGACATTATAGTACCCTTGTTTTTATATATTTAAATAATATTAAGGTAATTTTTATAATATTTAATATTAGGCTTAAATACCTTACTAAAAAAAAGTGCTAGGGTACCAGTGCCCTAGTTTTAGTTTAATTTAATAAACTTAGTAATAATTATAAAGTTATTTAAAAAGGTAATTAGCGTGGTAATATCCCCCGGGAGGTATTTAATAATATAATTATTAAAATATATAGCCTTAAGGTAATTAAATTAATTATTTAAGGCTTAGTAAAAAATAATAATAATAAATTTAGCTAAAAAAATAATATTAACACGTGTAAATTTTTACTAAATTTTTTTAAGTTTCTTATTAAAATTAAAAATATTTTTATTATAAAATAAAAATATTAAGTTAGCCTAGGCCTTAAAAATTATAATATTAATATTAAGTTTAAAATAGCTTTTAATCTTATTAAGTAACTTATAAACTATTTATTTATTAATAAAAAGGTTTTATAAATTAAATTTTAAATAGCTAAAAATTAAGGCCATAGCACGGTCCTAGTTTTACTACTAAATCTTAGCCTTATTATAATTTATTAAGGGCGTAGGCTTAATAATAACAGCCTTAGTAATAATAATCTTAATAATAAGCTAAGTAAAAGGTATAATAGTAACTAAAACTTTGCTATTAACACTTATATTTTTAACTTAACTTATAATAAATTATTAGCTAGGGGTTTTAATATCTTTGCCTACTAAAGCTAATATAATAAAAGCTAAAATAATAAAAATAGTTTTTATAGGGCGCCTTTAATTTAGCTATTTTAAAAGGTGGTTATAGCTAGCCTTCCAGAGCTTTAAGAATACCTGCTAGTTTTATTTAACTTATTAATTTTTTAATATTAAAACCAGAATATTCTTTGCTTTAATTAAGGTTATTTCTCCTATCTTAGCTTGGTATAAAAAAACTAAATATAAGAAAACTAAATAATAAAAAAATTAAAGCAATCTAGGTGCCAGGGATTAAACTACTTAAAAAATAAAATTAAGAAATAAAAAAAGGTAAGCCCTAAAAAATTATTATAATAAAATTAAGGTTAAATAGGCTAAAGCCTATACTAAGATAATTATAAAAAAAAAAGCTAGTAACTAAAAATAGCTAGTTAAATATTTAAAGGTTAGTTTAAATTTTTAAAAAATAATTAAAGTTAAAGTTTAAATTAAAAAACCTAAAGGTGTTATAATGCCTTTAAAGGTTTTAAAACTTTTTAGCCACTAAAAAAAACTTATTTTTATTAAAAAATTAAATATATATAGCCCTAGGAAGCAGGCGTTTATAAAATTAAAAGTTAATTAAAAAGGTAAAAAAAAAAATACAAAATTTAAGATAAAAAAAATAAAGCTATAATATTTATACCCTTATAATAAAGGCCTTACCCTAAATATAAGGCTTTTTAATTACTATAATAACTACTAAAGTTAAAAATAATAAAGTTAAATAGTAAAATAAAAAAATATTATATATTTAGTTAATATAGGTTAACTTAAAAAAAAAACTTTTAGTTAGGTATATAAGTTAAGTAAACCCGGGCTTATAACCTATTAAAAAAAATAACTAGTTATAGTAAGTAAAAGTCTTTTATATTATATAGTATACTAAGCTAGGTATTCTAAAAATAAATAAAGAGTTTTATAGTGGCCATTTAGGCCAGAAAAACCTTCCTTTACTGGAGCCCTAAGGCCGCCGGTGGCCTCAGGCACCCACTTCCAGCAGATCCAACCCGCAGTGGCCCGATTAAGCACGGCCATGACACTTGGTGGCCATTGGGATGGATAGGAAGTACATGTCTGAAAAGTGGTCCATCCCTTGGAGAGACAGAAGCTTGCCACACCCCTCGCCATCAGCAGTACGAACGCAGCAACCCTTTCATTTCCTCGCTTACAGCAGCATCAATCCCTCTGCTCATATCTAGCAGTCTCGCCCCAGCCCGAAGGAGCAATCGTGCTTGCTGCACAGCGTCACCTAAAATTGCGGTAGCGAGAGGGTGATTTCGTCCATTAAGTGGATCGTACTTGTCGTTGTCGATCCGCAAACCATACTGGAGGAGCAGACTCAGCATAGCAGTCTCGTACTTCCGGCCGGCCAAAAGCTGTGCGGGATCATCGACACCACCGACGTGGCCGATTTGTATATCTAGGCTTGCTCCGGCTTCGAGCAAGATCTTTGCGATCGCCAATTTTCGCTGGAAGATTGCTGTGCCTAGAGGAGTGTTTTCCAGCACGTTACCCCACCCCCACCTAGCGCCACACATCTGACCACCTTCCTCAAGAGGCGCATTGTACTGGAGAAGAAGCCTTGTTGCCTCCATGCTATTGCTCTCCACGGCTAACGACAGAAGGCCGCGGGGACCTGGGAACGTTAGGACCTTGACGCAGGCACCTTCGTCGATTAGCAGGCGCATGCATTGCGCAAAGCCTCGTCGGGTGGCCATTATAAGTTGAGTTGTGGCGTAATGAAGGGGGGTGTCTCCTTTCTCAGGGTCGTAAAGCAGCTGTAGTGCCTGGAAGGCGAGATCCTCGGGGCCGAGGTATAGCAGCGTGTCGACGCAGATCCCTCGGACGAGGGCCCACCGGAAATTCAGCCTCCATGATCCTAGAAAAGGCGTTGGTATCTTCGTATCCCTCATGGTGTTTGGGCTGATACTCACGGCAGACAGACATGTAACCGACTGCTTCGTGCCACAGTCGCCTTCGAAGTTTCATAGCAACCCGTGATTCACTGGCAGATGCAGGATAGGCTGTGTCAACCTCCAGGTCGATGTCCACAAGGTGCAAGAAGATGAGAACCTGTAGTTCAAATGGCAATTTGCTCCAACCCATGGTGACGGTCGTTCGTTGGAAGTTGTGAGGAAGTCATGTTTGGGATTGAGATTCTCGGTCCGATGAGCCAGTTTCGGCACGGATGAAAGGTGCAATTCCCGGCCTATGGTGACTGTCAGGATGTGGCAGGCACAGGGTACCCCTTAAGATGATACCTATGGTACCTGCCTCGGCCGAAAATCAGAACCCTGCTTCTTCCTCCGACTTTCTTGGTGTACTTTCTCAATAGGCCAATACTGCTATATGATCAAAGGCTCCATCATAATCGTCCCCGTCTTACATTTGATTGCCCGTGATGGCCATGAAGTGACAAAGAACATCCTTTGATGACAGGAGCGTCCACAATTTGCTATGGAATGAACCATAGCCATGACAAACGTCGTCCCGCTAACAAAGCAGCGGTGCTGAGACTATGACCCAGACCAAAACAGATGTTGTTTCTGCGCCCTTATTAACCGTTGGGAGTTCAATGGGCCGGTTGATGTGGCCAGGCCTGTCAAAGGGCGCCGAGTCCAAATACAATGCGAGGGAAATGCGGATCTCTTTCACAGACAGCCTGGCACAAAGACATTGTACTCGATTTCGAAATAGGGCTGTGAAAGAGTGAGGGAATGCACTGTTAATTGGCTCCTTCTTTCCTCTCCATCGTCTATAAGTACACCCTTTTCTGTTTGTTCTTCATTCTCTTTCCACCTAGTCGATATACAGATCCTGCTTTCCTTCTACCGACGCAGGCCAGCCCGAAGAGTTCTCAGGTCTCCCTCATATACCTCAAGCTTATTCATCACGACGGCTTTTATTGACACCAGTCAGATGGAGCGTCAACCGATGTCCCCCTTCCCCAATGAGGATTATACCGTGGGCTGGATATGCAACTCAAAGAAATCACTCCTTGCTGCCGCGGCAATGCAGCAAGGAAGCTGGCTTCTAACCCAGACTTGTCCGACTGGTAAGCAGGAAGGTTTTATGATGGGGGAAATTGGGGAACACAAGGTTGCGGCTACGATCGTGCAGTGTCATAATCAGGCACTGACCGGGGCTCCAAAGAACGTCGTACGGGAATTGCTGGAAACGTTCCCCAACATCCGTGTTCTCCTCGTGGTCGGCATTGCATCCGGAATGCCCGACTATGAGTCCGAGCCCGTCCAGGACATCCGACTCGCCGACGTCGTGGTTGGCGCGCCAAGTAAGCATGTCGACGGCGACGTGCGTGTCTACTACGAAGGCTTCAGTGGCTTTCGGTTGAAGCGAACTCTGGACAACGTCCCCACTGCGTTGCGTGCGGCCCTTGACAAACTGCAAGTGAGCAATGAGCCGTCCGCTTCCCGGGTCAGTCCATTGCTTAAACAAGACCTGGACTGCCACCACATGGTGACGCAACACGGCTGTGACCGGCCTGATCCCTCGACCGATCAGCTCTTTCGCTCGAGTTACCAACATGCCGACGAAAGCAAGCCTTGCACAAGCTGCAACGCCACCCAGGCCATTCCTAGGGACAGGTGGAAACGCGACTACGACGCGCCTGCCATCCACTACGGGACCATTGTCTCCTCGACCTTCCGTATGAGGAACATCCGAGACAAGATCAAGACGACCCTCGGCGGCATCTGCTACGACCGCGAGGCAGAATCGTTCTTTTGCAATTACCCCATGCTCGTCATTCGGGGTATAGCGGATTATGGCGACACCCACAAGAACGAGGAGTGGGAGGGCTATGCTGCTTTCACCGCAGCTTATTACGCTAAGTTCTTAATCTATACTACCTCTGCCCAGGAGCTGGCAAAAGCACCTCGAGTGCGTGATACTCCTCACACCTAAATTCGATTGGCATATTTGGGGACTTTACTCAAATAGCAAACAGTCAAACACGCCCCATTCTCTTCTTACAGTCGTTTCACAGGGCAGTTTCTATATAAATCCACAATTTCACAGAATCAAAATCAACGCGTTTCCAATTCTCTTCTAAATATCAATGTGTATTCTCTTGTAGGAATCTCAAATGTCTAGAGTAGTGTAACTGGTGCTGGATTCACAATGTGTTATAGCAGATTTTGCCCGGAAATCAGTGACATCTGATGACAGGTACAAGGCCGCGCAGCAATAAATACAGTATTGAGGACCATGATATTGACCGAGGCCTGTGCAGGATGAAAATGAATCGTATTAATTTCCCATAGTAAACAGGTGACTTAAAACAAGCAATATCAGAAAAGGCCCATGAGCACTACATACTTACCCGCATCTCCACGTCAACCCCCGTTCACGGGTGCCAGACCACTGGACCTGTTACCAGTTGTAGTCAAGACTAGGCGAAGTCCTTAGCCAGTGAAAGTCAACCTCGGCGCTAGAGCATATAGTTTGATATGTCGGATCAAGTTCATGGAGCTTGGATAACAAGGTCAGTCGTCCAATGAGGACAAAATGCTGTGGGACCACTTGTCCACGGTCAATGCCAGATTTGTGACATGCACCTGGGCCGTAAGAACGGCGTAATGTCCTGTATCACCTTGCATGAAGGAACTCAATCTGGGCATGCATTTACCCTGCAAGGGATGCCCAAACCGCCAGTGTCTACCCAGCCAGCACATGACTTTGGAGGGGCATTGGCAGAGGCCCCTAGCCGCCCCGGGTCTCTTGGTTCTCACATTCCCAGGTCCCTACCTTCGGGACTGTGCTCAATGCCTGGTCACCATTACGAGAAAAATGTCTTCTCCCTCCGATAAAATCTGGCTAGAGAAGTGCAAGCCCGAGGCGCTTCCCATTCCGCCCTTTGACCGATGCGTCTACATCCTCAAAAATCATGTTGTGAAGAAAGCCCTGCAACCTGGTGAGCGTGGATTCGATGGCTATGTCCCTGATACCGCGACTGTTGCGCAGCGGGATGTCAATGAAATACGTGCATTGGAGCTTGTTCAGGAATATACCACCATCCCAGTTCCTAAACTTGTTCACGAGGGAGATAGGCAAGTACCTTTCCTAAAAGGTTGAACGCAATGTTAGTGAGATCGGAATAATCTAATATAGAGGCATAGGTTCAACGTCTTCGAGCGCATTCTAGGAATAACAATCTTCGAGGGATCAGTATGGGACAACGTCCCACCCCGGCAACAAGAAGGCATCAAACTCCAAGTCCAGGAGTACATCAAGCAGCTGGCCAAGATTCCCAACGCCCCCGGTAGTGTGCGATCACTCTCGGACTCGGGGGAGATCATCCACAACCAGCTTCCGCATCGAGGCCCCTTCGATTCAACCCAGGACTTCCTAAGCGCGTACAAGGACAATGATGTACCGTTTGTCCACGAGATCAACGCGACCTGTCTGCCGGTCTTCTCGCATATGGACTGGGATTTGTCCAATATCGTACTTCATCCGAATCTCGATGCGGTAGCGGGTGTGATTGACTGGGAGAGGGCCGCGTTCTTCCCAGAGGGTGGGAGGGCCATTCACCGGATGTGCCATCAGTGGAGGGGATGGGAGGCGTTGTTTGACGGTATCGAGTTCCCCGTTCAGAGTTGTGTAGCAAGATGACGAGATAAAAGGGAACTTATAGGAACGGGAATAGCAGTAACAAAATACCCCATATTGCCCAGTCCTGAAGGTCTATCCAAGCCACTTTGACCACTCCGGCTGTTCCGTCCCCTCCGGGTCGTAAACCAACGCATACAGAACAAGCGGCTGAACGAAAAGCGCTGAGAACCTAAACGCAGCACCCACAACCCTCCTTGTCCTATACCTGTACTCAAGCACCATCAGAGCCCCTGCGCCCAGCGGACTGAGAATGTAGATCAATGGCAAGGCTATCAGCAGTGTAGTCCCCACGCGAGGCGTGAGGTGATTCCACCCATAAAGCAGCGCCCACGCAGGGGACAGACAATGGGCGCACATGGCCATCCTACCAAAAAGCGAAATTGGAGTCAGGCGGTTGTGTGTGGCCGATTCCGATACGGTGAGGACACCTAGGTCACCTAGTATAGCGCGCACTTCAGTCCACATAGGCCAGCAGAGTGCAAACAGCGAGACAAGAATCCACCCTATGCGGACGATTTCTCTGCCTATGATGGTTGCAACATGCAGAGTTGAAACGGACGGACCAGAGACATAATCGGCTGTGGCCTTTGTCCACATGAGCCAGGTTGGTAGAGACCAAATGGCGATGTCGAGGGTTAGTGCGACTAACGCCCAGATTTTGGCGAGGCGCTTGGTACCCCTGCTCTCCGGCGATGTGGTCGTCGTTGTCAGATTGTCGGCGTCTATCTTGGCGATGACGATCACGAGCTCAAACAGCAACCAAGACGACAAGTACATTGCGCCCAGGGCTTGCGAGAAAGGGATCCCTTTGCTGGCGAATAGCTTGATGAACTGCGGCAGGGCGCCGAGAATAAAGCCCACCCAGCGGGATATTGCCTGGTGTTCTAGATCTGCTATCTTTCGGGTATCTGGATTGCCGTCTGTGTCAGCGGTTCGATCGATGAGGATACGGCCTGCTTGCTCTCGTACATCCGTAGCCGACTTGGGGGCCGAGTAGACCATGGACGCCATGACACCGAGAATATCACATGCAGAGAGAATGGGAGAGCTCCGTAGAATGGCTTGATGGCGGTATCGCAGCCCCAGGACCATCCCGGTTGGTTGTGCCATTGAGTTGATGGCGAAGCAGACCATCCAGAAGAAGAGAGTTGGCCATGCGATTTCAGAGGAGCAGCATTGCTCCGTCGCGGTCATGGTGCTGGCGGACCCTACACCGCGGATGGTGAGAGCAGACATAGGAATGTACCAATTTGTTTTTGTCAGCCAATGGTGGAGATTGCTTAGTTTGATAAGGAAGCGCTGCAGCGCTTTAACAGCGCCTTAGGCAGTCTTAATTAAAATACTATAATACCTACCACTAAATTACTTGCCTGTATAATTATAATATTTATAATTTTTTAAATATTATAAAATGTTAATAAAAGTATTTAAAATTTTTATTATTTTTAAAAGCTTAAATTATTTATAAAAACCCTAATTAGCTCTAGCTTTTAAATATTATTATATTTTTTATTTAATTTTTTAGTATTTATTTAATTAATAGCTTTTTTTTATATAATATTTAAAGGGCCTTATAATTATAAGCCTAAAAAATTACTTAATAATTTAGTTTATTAAATTCTTACCTTTTTTAAATTTTTTAAAACTATTTATATCCCCTAAGTACCAGCCCTTTTATTATATAAAAGCCTTTTATAATTAATTATTTCTTATATTTATATTTAAAAAGTTAAATATTAATTAAACCTTAACTTTTATACTTAATTTATTAATTTAAAAGTTATTATAAGCTTTATTACTAGTGTTTTAAATATAATAATTTTTTTAAAAATAAAAAAAACTAGCTAGTATAGTATAACTATATTTTATATATTATAATTATTATAAAAATTTAAAAATATCTTAATTTAAAAGTAACTTACTAGACTTCTTTTTTTAAGCTCCCTTAACTTTTTAAAAATAATATTAATAAAAAGGTATTTAAAATATTTAATTAAAAATAAAACCATGCTAAGTATATTTTTTTAAAAATTTAAAATATTAATAATATTATATAAAAGTTAATTACACTTTTTATTTAGTAACTTATTGAAAATAAGCTTATTATAAAGGTTTTTATTAAATTAAAGTAGTAACTTACTTTTATTAATTTTAAAATTAAATTTAAGGCCTTTAATAGCTATATTATTACCCTTATTATATTAATTTAATAAAAAAAAGTTACCTAGTAGCTTTAAAATTATAAGCATGCTTATTAAAAAATTTTATACCTTAAGTAACCTAAGGCTAATAATAAAATAGCTAATATAATATTTTTAAAGGCTATTAATAAATATTTAATAGCTTATGCAAAGCGTTATATAAATTAATTAAATTATAAAAAATTTAATAAAATTAATTATTTTACCTTTATTTTTAAGTTTTAATAGTATTTTTTTATTATTAATAGCTTTACTAAAATCTTTATAAAAAAAATAGCCTTTACTACACTTATTAAAAAGTTAGATTAGCCTTTTACTAATAATTTAAATACTAAAGGTTTTTTTACTAATAAACCTTCCTAGGTATTAATTAATAATAAATTAATTTATTTTTATAAATATAAATATATTATAAAGTTTTACTATAACTTTATATATTCACGCTATTTAAAGTTTTATAAAATAAATAAAAAACTAAAAAAAAAAAAWTAGTAAAATACTTAAAAAAAATAATAAATATAATAAAAAGCTTTAAAAGTCAAAGGTTAAGAATACCAAGCTTTTTAAAAATAAAAAAAAATATTAAAAACTAAAAAGCTTAGTAAAATAGCTAAAAAAATATATAATTTATAATTTTTAAAAAATATTATAAAGTAGCCCTAGTATTTAGTATTTTAAGTAATTTAAAACTTTAAAATATTTTTATTTTTAATACTAGTGCCTTTATTTATATTTATAATAATTTTAATTATTTTACCTTTTTAAATTACTTTTAAGGTAATAATATTTAAGCTAAAAATATAATTATAGTTATATAAGGCTATAAATTAGTTTTTATTTATTTAAAAGTATTTAATAAAAGGATTATATTATTTATATTATATAAAATTATATATATTTTTAAATTTTACCTTAATATTATAATAACAAGGTCTTTTTAAAAAGCTAGATATACCTAAAATTTTAACACCCTTATACTTAAAAATAATAAACTAGTCTTCTGCCTTAAAAATTATTTTTTAGGCCTTTAAATAATAAAACTAAAAAAAAAGTTTTTTAAAGCTAGAAAAGGCCAACACTTTAACTTAATAAAAAATTAAAATTTTAACTTAAAAAGTATAGCTTTAAAAAAAATTTTAAAGCTTTTTACTAGTACCTAAAATATATTAATAATAAAGCGCTTAAGTATATTTTTATAGTAATATAAAAAATTAGTATTTTTAATTTTTAACTACTTAAGCATTATAATACTTGCTAGGTTAATTAAGCTTTTTAATAAATATTTAAATAGCCTAAAAAACTAATTACTAAGCTATTTATTTATATTTATATTAATTTTATTTTTATAAAGTTAGTAATAAATAAAAATTAATAGGTAACTTACTTTTATAATAAGTTTTTTAAAATATACTAGGCCTATACTTACTAGCTTAAAAGTAATTATAAAAATATTATTAAATAATTTATATAATTTATATAAAACTATTATAAAATTACTTTAAAGTTTTTATTTAATAATAATAAACTTATTTTTAGTAATAATATTCCTAACTTTGCTACCTTTAAAAATATTTTTTAAAACTAGTTTACTTTATATTTTTTATTTTAAAATAATATAGCTAAGCGCTCCAAAGGTATTTTAATTTAAAAAGTTAAAATAATAATTTTATATAAAAATATTTTACTTAATATATAGCCCTGGGTTATAAAAGTAATAACTTATATTAATAATTAAATTTTTATTAAAGCTATTAATTAAATAAGTTTATAAAAAAACTTACTAGTAAAAAGTCTTATATTTTAAGTATTTAAATTATTAGGTATTTTTCCTGGGCAAGAAGATCCTAAAAAAAAGGCCTTTATAAAATAAAGCTAAGGGCCTTATTTAAATATTTTATAAATTATTAAGCCTTAAATATTTAGTAAATTTAGTTTTTTTAAGATTAATATATTAAAGCTTATAAAAATATTATTTTTAATAAATTCTGGCTTTATAATTTATAAAAACTATTTCTTATTATTAATATTTAAATTAATTTTTTTAAATTATTAATTAAGGTTTTTAAACCGCCCTCTCGCCGCTGTATTACTAAAAATATAAACTTAAATTTAAACTTTATTAAATTTTTTTAAAAAAAAAAAATAAGGGTATTTTAATAACAAGCAAGCCAAGGGTGGTAAAAATATTTAAAAATAAAAGTATTAAAAAAAAAATAAAAATAAAAAAAATTTAGGTATAAAATTATACCTAGGCCTAATTTTAGTAAAACTAAGGCCTTTAATTTATTAAAAGGTTTTTTACCTTTTTTTACTTTAAACCCTACTTTAAAACCTTAATACTATAAAATTTTTATATAAAAATTAATATTAGCTAGTTTTTTTAATAAGCTATTATAGCCTTTATAATAAATTACATGCTTTTAAACTTAAAAAAATTTATTTTTAAACCTGGCTAGTTAATAATTATTATAAAAAGTAAAGTAAGCTTATTTTTAAACTTTTATTTATTTTATTACTAAAAATATAAAAAGGGGTAAAAAACTAAAAATTAAACCTATTATTTTTTTAAATAGTTAATTAAATAAAAACTAGTACCTTAAAGTAATTAAAAAAACTTTAAGTTTTATTTAAGTACTTTAATAAGTTATATAAGCTATATTATTATTATAATTACTTTTAATTTTACTTTTTATTATTATATATAATTTACCTTTTTTACTTTTTATTAAAACCCTAAAAAAAATGCCTTTATTAAAATAAATTATTACCTTTTTTTAAGCACTAAAAAAATCTTAAAAATTATTTTTTAAAAAATATGTTTTTTAAAGCTATTAACCTTAAATTAAATAAACTTAAAAAAATAAAAATATAAAAAATAGTTAATAAATAAAAAGCAGGTTTAAATAAATTAATTCCCTTACTATAAGTATTTATATATAAGTTTAATATAAACAGCTACTTTATTAAGGCTAAAGCTTAAATTTATATATATAAAGATTTTAAATTAATTAATTATAAAAATAATTAAGTAGTTATAACCTTTACCTATTTTTTTTAAGTTATTATAATACTTATTACCTTTTTTAATATAAATATAAGGTAATATAATACTATTAATATTTTTTTTAATATAAGCCTTAATAAACTTATATACTTTTAATTTTTAAATAGCTATAAGTAAAAAAAAGCTTTTAAAAGCTTTTAAAATTATTTATAGCCTTAGGAAGTTTCCCTACCTTTAATAATTTAATTTAACTATTACTTTATATAAATTTAGCTTTATTATAATACCTAAAAAAAATATTTTTTTACTAGTAAGTTAATAATTTTCCTAGTATATTTAAATAATTTTATTTTTATAAATTTTTTTACTAAGCAAGGCTGCTTTATAATAGCTACTTTTAAAAAAAAACTTTTAGTAAAATATAAGCTTTAGTATTTTAGTAAAGTTAAATAATTTTTAAAAATTTAAATTTTTTAAAATAGGCCTTAGCGCAAGCTTTAACTTTTTAAGATTTTTATATTAAAGCTATTATAAATTAATTTTATTGAAATATTATAATTTAGCCACCTTTTACCCCGCTTTTATTACTTAGTAAGCTTTATTTAAATTTTAACATAACTACCTTTAAAAATATTAAAAAAATAAAATTAAAAATTAAATTTATTAAATACGCTAGTACCCTTACTTATTTAAATATTTTTATATAATAAACTACTTATTAAAATATTTTATTAATTTTATAAATTATTATTAACACGTAATAAATTAACTTATTTTTTATTTTTATAATACATGCTTTCTTACTTTTAAATACTTTAGTTTAAATAATTTTAAAAATAAGGTTTTTATTAAAAAATACAAAATTTATAAGTTATACTTTAATATAATATTTATAAATTACTTTAATTAATTTTTTAATATAGGCTATATTTATAAGTTATATAAAAATTTAATTAAATAAAAGGCTATAAAGCAACACTTAATTACTATTTTTATTATTAAGGTAAAGTTACTTACTTTTACTAAGGCCTTTAAAGTAATATATTAATAATAAAAAAATTTTAAAGTTATATAATTTAATTTTTAATACTAGCTTTTAATTTAATATAATAATAAATAAATAATTAATATTTTTATTAATATTAATATATAACTTTACTTAAAGCTTTATTATATTAATATTTATAATTTATAGCTTAAGTAAAAAGTTTAATATAAAAACCTTTATATTAAATAAACTTTTATTAACTAAATAATTATAAATAGCTTTATAAAAATATTTATTAAATAATAATACTAGGGATTTATTAAAATACTAGGTTTAATAAATATTTTTAGCCTTATTTTTAACTAATTTAAAAGTAAGTAGGTATTAAGGGGGCATATTAGCTAATAATAAAAATTACTTAATTTAATAAAAAACTATTATAGCGCTTTAATAGCGCTTAAATACCTTAAATAATTTTAATTAAAATATTATAATACTTACTACTAAATTACTTGCTTGTATAATTATAATATTTATAGTTTTTTAAATATTATAAAGTATTAATTAAAGTATTTAAAATTTTTACTATTTTTAAAAGCTTAAATTATTTATAAAAACCCTAGTTAACTCTAGCTTTTAAATATTATTACATTCCTTATTTAATTCTTTAGTATCTATTTAATTAACAGCTTTCCTTTGCACGGTATTCAAAGGGCCTTATAGTTTTTTTGGGTTGGTGATGAAGGTAGGTAGGTGTACACCAACAACGGCAACTTGGAGGCGATTCATATTTCAAGACGGAGGGCGGCAAGGCTGAAGCTGAGGTACCGTACAGCCTTGCCTCATCTTGTGACTAGGATCAGACTGCATAAGCACCCTTGGCAGCTACGGCGTGGAGACAACGCATGGATTGGCCAAGATCAATTGATGTCGAGTGTCTTGCTTTTTTGGCATTTCGAAGGATGTGGAAGAAAGATCCAACAACACAAAAAGATCAAGTATTTCCACGCCAGCAATCGATATACCCTGTTATCTTATCGCCTATCGATAAGGAGGCCAAGCCTAAAGCCGAGAATACAAGCCGGATTCCCCTCCCACTTCCCCTCATTGTGGCATGCAGCACCCCATATGTCATCATTCTTGTCCAACCTGACACAACACTATTAGAAATCCCCCGGTGCTACCCTCTATATATTCCCGCTCACCCATCCGCTGTCCACACAAATTCTACACTCACTGACCACCACCAACACAATGGCCCCCAAGATCATCCTCTACACAAACCACATCTGCCCCTGGGCCCACCGCGCCCACATCGCCCTCAAGGAGCTGGGCCTCGACTACGAAGAGGTCATCATCGACCTCGACACGCCTCGCGAGCCGTGGTATCTCGAGATCAACCCGGTACGCCCATTCTCTCACCAAGCCAGGCGCAATTTCCCCGGGTCGGAGGGAAAGTTACTAACAATGCCTTCAGCGCGGCCTCGTCCCCACAATCTCCTACAACGGCACCATCATCCCGGAGTCCGGCATCGTCGCCCAGCTCCTCGCCGACGCACACCCCTCGCACCTCGTCCCGCCCTCAAACACCGAAGCCGGCGCCATCCAGCGCGCCCGCATCTCCTTCTTCGTCGACACCTTCTTCACCAAGGTGTGGCCGCACGCCTTCGCCGCGCAGAAGGCAGGCTCCGACGAAGAGCGCTCCGCTGCATCCGAGGCCCTCGTTGCCGCTATCGAGAATAATAACGTCGAGGACCTTTTGTACCCCGAGGGCGCGGGGTCGGGACCTTTCTTCCGCGGCGCAGAGAAATTGACGCAGGTGGAGGTTCTCACGGGTAGCTTTTTGCTGAGGTTGCTGTCGCTGCATAGGTATGGTTTGCTGGCGGCGGAGTTGCCGTGTTTGCTTGAGGAGCGCACGCCGAGGTTCTGGAAGTGGGCGAGTGAGGTTGTGAAGCAGGAGAGTGTGAACTATATTTGGGATGAGGAGAGGGTTGGGACGAGGACTGCGAAGAAGATCAAGGCGCTTGCGCAGAAGTAGGGTGTTGCTTGGTGGGATTGAGATGGTGATGGACGAGCAGTTTCATATCGCTCTTTTGACGCAATGGGACAAATGGCATTTCTATTATTTTGTCTGAAGGCAGTCAATCCATTGACGACTCAGGGGATACAACGCGTAATGTCAAGGAGAGATCACTACGGCCTTCAATTCCAGTATCCAGTCAAGTTCATTCTGCCCCAGCCTCAGTCCCTGTCCTAAAAATTCGGCAGCGTGGGTGACGTGTGGAGGGCGGCTGTTTCAGGCTTTCAGCAGCTGGAGATCGCGATGATCACCGACGGACATGCGCATACCCCAGTATCCAACCTAATTTTTTGGCAAGTCCCAATAACTATTCAGATCACGGGGAAAGCCCAAAGACCCGTTGATCGATATACATACGCGTCATCAGCTGCTCCGTTCACATGGCCATGAGCCACGTATAAAGCCCCGAGTAAGATACAGCAGCTGGAGTCCATAGACACCACCGTTCGCTATCAATCCCTCACTACATTGTGTACCAACCTCTGTCATCCAAATCCCAAGATGAAGCTCTCCATCTCCGCCCTTCTACTCGCCTCTTTGACAGCTCTAACATCAGCCGCCTCAATCAACGACATCCCACAATGCGCGCGCCCCTGTCTCGAAGACGCCATCAAAAGCAAGACCAGCTGCGCCGTCACGGACTCCAACTGCGTCTGCAGCGGCGACAACTTCAGCAAGGTCCAGGGTGCGGCGACGGGTTGTGTACTTGATGCTTGTGGGAGTGATACTGCGTTGAGTAAGTTTCACTACTGCATTTTATCTTGTCCGCATGGATTGGGTTGGCGTATTAACTTGAAGCTCCATTAGATCAAGTCCTTCCGGCGGCGCAGAAGATCTGTGGATAAACCCGTTCAAACTCATCGTTTGGTATTGGTCTAAATGCTTTAACTCGCCGGTTGGCTGCAATTAAGCTGAAGAAGTATATTTTGTACCGTAGTCAACTCGCTCAATGTCATTGTATCTTACTCCTCAACCTGATTGTCATCTCGCCTGTCATCTCCTCGATTTAATGCCCCTACAACCTCCCCTTCCCTCTTCTATCCCCTCCAGCTCCCAGCACCAGCTCCAGATCCCGATGCGGCAGATCAAGATAATCCCACATATAATGAAACCGATCACTGCCAAAGAATGGCTCGGCATTGCCCTTTCCATCATACACCCAGAACCACGGACACCCGAATGCCCCAAGCTCCTTCACGGCTTTGGCAGTGGTGTCCGTGAGCGCTTGCTTCGTTTCAGGCTTGTTTGCGCCGACTAGGATGTCTTGGACACTGGATTCATCAAAGACCTTTCGTAGCGCAATGGATAGGTTCTCGGGTACTGAGATGTCGAGATGCTTGTACCACATCGTTTCAAAACAGGCGAGGAACGCCGCTTCATACTGCTCCTTTGCGTGCGTCTGCTTGATAAACGTCAAGGCACGTTGGGGCTGTCAAGTTTCAGCAAATAGTTCTCATAACAGAACAAGGAACAAGCAGCCATACCAAGAGCGAAAGAATAGGAAAGAAACTCGGAATCTGGAAATCATGGCCGAAGTAGCGCTGCGCTCGTTTGCCGTCGTATTGGCTGTATGCGGCTTTGGCGGGGAGGGTCCAGGGGGGTTTGTTCCCTACATCACATTAGATACTGAGCGATACGATACCCTGCATCTTATGATGATTATCGGTCATCGGTTGATAAATGGGTGACAAACCGCTACCAACGTTGATGCCGCCAAGGAAGACGGGGATGTACCTGGGTCAGTCAGCAATGATATCTAATTTGCTGGCGTGCAAGGTTCATACTCTACTTTCACATCTAAAGCTTGAAGACGAGCACGGTTCGCTTGGAGATATGAGAACGCGTAGAAGCTGTATGGCGACACTAAGCAATTTCAGCAAGGGCGTGAGAAGGATCTCCAGCTTGACGCACCGATGTCAATATAGCAGTCAATCTTCTTTCCGCCCATTTTCGATGCAGACAGTGAGACAATTGGAAAGATCGAATGGCGTGGTGATTATTTCAATGATTTATTCAACAACAGATACCGGGGCTCCTGCTGACGCCAGGTGCGGAAAATGCGGGGACATGCCGAGGTTCCTTCGCGGTCTTTTCGATTAGTCGAAACTGGCGATGAGAGAGCCGAAAGAACATATTCATTCTCGAGATTAATTTTATTTTCTCGTTACTCGGTAGGCTGCAAGAAAGAGACTCGTTAATCGAAGGCACTCCAGGCCACAGTGCTGTCTGGGGCCTGTCCAGCAAAGTCCCCGTGATATATATTTTCGCCCTCTGCATCATTGCCGCGTATAAAACCTCGGAGGTGAGAATGGGGACCATTAAATGTAAACACCGGTTTGATAAAGAAAGAAGCACGAATCTTCCATCTTTTCTACCCATGAGATCGCCAAATGACCCATAAGCTAGGTATTGCTCAGGTTGAGTAAATTGCTGTCTTACATGCTCGAAGACTTGGCCTTCGGCATTTTCCTGCGAATCACCGAAAGCACGGGTATTGCTAAGACCGACGCTTGAAAAGCGCTGCCATTCTAGTCCGGCATTAACAGGTTCCCACTTCTCGAGAATGTTGTTCCAAGTCCTATATAATCGCTGCCGCTCGGGAAGAGATCCCGGATAGCCTCACTCCGCTCCTATTCGGGTAAACGCCGCTCCAGAACAAGCTAGCGCCGATCCAGAGCATTATGTGCAAGATGGGCCCAGATCATTGCCCTAGCTTCGAGATTGAATTGGTGGTCTTATGTCGGAAGAATTGCATGCTGTATCTTGGCTGAGTATATGAGGGGAAATGAGGGGAAAGCTTGCGTACTTAAGATGAATACCAGGTGCGCAAAGTGGATAGGCATTGACCATTGGATATTTTGAAGGACTGTTGTGATCGATAGACCTATTTTACTTCATTATGAGGCTCCTCAGCACCCTCCTCTTCGTGGCCTCCTCACTGTCCGGCCTAACCACAGCAATCCCTGCATCACCACCTACGCCCTATAAGCCCCCAGCCGGTCATGGCCGCAACCGAGTTTCCAAGCCCGTAGGTCGGCATTTCGAGATTGACGGGAAGGTGCAGTACTTCGCAGGCACGAACTGCTGGTGGCTCGGGAACCTGCTTAACGACTTCGAAGTCGAGCTGGCAATCTCTCAGATGGCTGATGTATGTCCCCGTTCACAATCCGACATCAACAGTACAACCAGACTAAAGAGCATGAGTAGACCGGCTACAAAGTCGTCCGCACCTGGGGTTTCTTCGGCGTCAACGACCCCACGAACCCAGGCCAGCCTACATTCTACCAAGTCCTCAACGAGACCTTATACCCAGAAACAGGGGGACTGGGGATAAACTACGGTCCAAATGGTGCCTTATTCCCTAACAAAACAACCCTTCCTTCTCTCAGAACCGAACTCACTGACCCGTCCACAAGGAATCCACCGCCTCGACGTGGTCGTCTCCCTCGCAGAAAAATACAACCTGCAGCTCGTGCCCACGCTCATGAACAACTGGAACGACTTCGGCGGGATAAACATCTACAGCGCGGCATTCGGCAGCAACGCAACGACCTTCTACACGGACAAAAAGGCCCAAGCCGCATATAGAGCGTACGTCAAGTTCATCGTGAACCGGTACAAGGACAGCCCCGCGATATTCGCCTGGGAACTCGGCAACGAGCCGCGCTGCAAGGGGTGCGACCCGTCCGTCATCTACAACTGGGCGAAGGAGATCAGCCGCTACATCAAGCGGCTTGACAGAAAACACATGGTGACACTCGGCGACGAGGGCTGGCTGTGTCCGCCGCAGGGCGATGGGAGCTACGCGTACGACTGCAGCGAGGGCGTTGACTTTGTCAAGAACCTGGAGATCGACACGCTGGACTACGGGACCTTCCATCTGTACCCCGAGTCGTGGGGGTACGAGTATAGCTGGGGGAGCGAGTGGGTGCGGCAGCACGATGCGATTGGGAAGAGGGTTGGGAAGCCTGTTGTCTTCGAGGAGTACGGGACGCCGATTAACCATACGCAGCTGGAGCGGCCGTGGCAGGTGACGGTTGTGGAGGAGACGCAGGTGGCGGCGGACTTTATTTGGCAGTTTGGGACGGTGCTGCCGGTTGAGGGGGTCAAGTGGGGGGATGTCAATTCGATTTATTATGGGACGGAGGAGTATGAGGTTCTTGGGTTTGGGCATGTGGAGGAGATGGAGAGGAAGAAGGTGCGAAGGCATTAGCAGCGCAGATGATACTATATCAGGCGGGGGTACAAAGAACACCCTTGATGATGGCGTGACCTACGAGACAGATCCATCGGAATCTTTATGTTTGGAATAACCGGTAGACGCTTTATGAGCATGCAATTTATGCCCCCCAGCCCATGTCCTTCATTTTCCCATCAGCCCAATGACGAATTGTACCGCCCAGGGCCGTAAAACGACATCTAGAGACACCAATTGATCCAGATCAGGCTTTGCGAGAATCGACTGACCAGTTTGAGCGCACAAGGACGCGGCGCCGATGCGGAACCGGTGATCATGGGCTCCGTATGGGCTAGAACGGTCGGATGTCAGCAGTGGCAGCTGAGTCGGACTGGTCATGGATTCGAGCCTGACGCGGTGGAATGTCGACAGGATGATTGGCGCCTATAGGAGTCACCGGTGAGCGAGCTGCATGAGCTCAGGTACACGACATGGATGTCGAGGTCTTTGCGGCATGACTGGACATTCATCCATCAAGATCAAACCCAGATTCCTCCTGCAGGATCTATCCAATCCTTTGCTTTCGTCTCACAAAGACCTGCTTCTCCTCAGAACCCGCCACATCCCTCACCTGCACTTCCCAGATCTTCAACTTGTAATTCCCTCGGTCCGCCTTTCCAGAGAAGATATCAAAACCCCAGCCGTGCTTAGGACATGTGATCCCCGCACTGAGCGTGATGCCAAAGTCCTCTATGTCGAAGAGGCTGCCCTGGGACAGGGGATACGAGGAGTGAGGGCATTGCTGTCTCAATTAACTCTTTATCTGAGTAAAACTGAAAGATATACGTACATGGTCAATAGCATGAACATTCCCCTTATACCTAAACACAAGGACCTGATCTTTCAAATCACCTGGCAAGTCAATATCCGTCTCCTCTGGTTTATTTGTCGTTCCAGCCGGGATGCGAAAGGCCTTGCAGGATGCCGTCACAGTGCAATCAGAGTCTGGGGAGATCTCGGGGAACTCGGAGAGCAGACCAACGCGATGCCAGGCGGCGTCTGCCTTTGCGGAGCGGAAGAAGGGGTTCGAGAACATGTCTGAGCAAAATTGTTTATATCTTGATCGTTATTGGAGGTTGAAGATGGGAGTTCGGAGTCCGGAAGCGATGCCGGCCGGAATGGATTTTTGTGCCGGTGCCTGACCCACTCCGCCCGAGGCGCTAGTCCGCTTTGGGTCTCGGCTTTACTCCGGAGTATTCGGGGATATATCCGGCTGTATGCCACCCATTGGATGCTGCGATTAAATGCTCGCGGGTTAAACCCTGGACGTTGGGCGCAGTTTCTGGAGGAGCTGAAGACCGCCAGGCCGTGGGCTGCTTTGGAGCATGCATCACCGTAAGTAAGGCGGCCAGCGCCTGGCAGAAGCCCAGCCGGCCATATCAGATGATCCCAATGCTATTGGTCTCCTCGCATTACAGGCTGACTGGCATGAAGCGTTGCTAAGAAGCGCATTATAGCGTCCAATCACCCCATGGAAAATGGATAGATAAGACGCGAATAGGAGACCGGCCATACGTACACAGTGGATATACGGCAAGCTACTATAGCAGCGCACCAGCCGCTTCCCCACTCCACGTGGACGTTTCCAATCACCCCTCGCGCATATAAATAGCTCTATTGCCAGTCAGGCGTCGCGCCTTTTCTCTGAGTCTGAGTCTTGCCCCTAAAACTCCAACCCATCGCAGCCGTCACAATGGCCCCCTTCAAACCCCTCCTCCCAAACATCCCAACCTCACACGCCCGCAAAGCCACCTACAAACCCTCCACCACAGAGCTGGAACCCCGCGAAAATGCCCCCCTCCCAATCCGCCGCCCCTCACCAACCGTGATCCTCCGCGACGGCCTCACCCTCTCAACCTGGCTGCTGGTCGGCGGCGTCCTGCAAGGCCTCGCAATCCGCACAATGGGCTACAAGTCGCTGCTCCCGGCCGCATTAATACTAAGCTACCGCGCGCTCGACACAGCCCTAATGACCCTGTCCCTAAAGAAAAACCACTACATGGACGACGTGATCATGCGAAAATACAGCGCGCAGTATCCCACCAACGGATCCTTCGCCAGCACAACAAACCCAAACACCGGGCAAGAAGACGGCGACCCGGCCTCAACCCCGCTCGTGGTCTTCCACCTCGGCGCAAAATGCAACCACCCGCTTGGCCTCCTCGCGCCGGGCTTCAAAGAGCTCGGCGACTGGGCGGAGAGACTCTACGAGAGTCTGCGGGTGAACCCGAGCAAGTACGGACTTTTGGGAATGACGCGGTTCGTCGGCGCCGCGGAGGCGAGCGGGAACGAGACGCTGAGCGTGATGTATTTCCGGGATTATGAGGGGCTGCATGCGTTTGCGCATGATTTGATGCATGCGGAGAGTGTGAGGTGGTGGTCGGGCATCGTGAAGCGGCATCCGCATTTGGCGATCTGGCATGAGACGTATGTTGTGCCGCGCGGGTGCTGGGAGAATATCTATGCGCAGGCTGGGGTTACGGGGATGGGGGATACGTTTTTCCCGGTTGTTGATAAGGAGGGGGATGGGGAGGTCAAGGAGTGGGCGAGGGGGGTTGTGGATGCGCGGGGTGGTGCGTTGAGGACGGGGTCGAGGAGGTTGAGGATGGCGCATTTGGAGGAGAAGGAGAAAGAGTTGGAGGGGTATTATGATATGACGGATGGGGGCGGAGCGTTTGATGAGGTTGCTCAGTAAAGGTAGGTGGTGGTTGATCATAATGTACATTGCCTCGAATCTCGGCATATCGAGATCTATTCTAAATACAACGGTAATAACATGCAAATATGCGATATGCAAGAATATGTCCACTAAGCGCGTCCTCAGAAAAAAGAAAAGAAATCAATATTGCTCCATATCGTTCCAGTACAGCGTGCCGTGCTGCATCTCGCCTCGGGGATTCAGGTCCCAGCCCAGCATCAGATTCGTCCATTGCAACAGATGGCTCGCAATCTTGATATGTCCGACGTCCGTCGGGTGGTTCTTGGGGTTGATGTCGTTGTGGCCGAGGATGCCGTCTGTGTGGAAGAGGTAGACGAAGCGCCACTTGCGGTCCTTGAAGTGCTCGTAGACGCGCTGGATCTCTTCTTCGTAGATCACTGTCTGGACGTACTCGGTGTCTTCTTTGTTCCAAAGGCCCCATTGCGTCTGTCACCAATTAGCGTTGCCGATCATGAGTTGTTGAGATAGTAAGAAGAATCGCACCATAATCACAATCGACGCATCAGGCCAATGCTTGTGGATGTTCTCAATAAGGTCAACATATCCCTGGAAGAAATTCTCTCCAGGGATCTCGTTCGGATGGCGATGGTCGTTGCCGCCCATCTGGATGATGACGAGGTCGGCGGGTTGTTCGGCGGTCACGTCCCATTCCTCGGGCTCATGGCCGTACATGTCGCGCGCGCGGGAACCGGGGTCGGAGGCGCGGTGCCAGTACCAGATCTACCAAGCATCAGAATCGTCGTCTAGCCGATAGAGTCGAGGGGCTTACCATTCCGTGCACACCTCCACCGTAGCACTGCATGTCGACCAGGCATGCGCCAGGGTAGGCCTGTCCACGTTAACAATCATCTCCTCACAGCCGAACCGATGGACCAACAGTGATTCCAAACTCAACATTTCCCAGCCCTTGTGCATAGATAAACGACCACGACGAAATCGTCTCGTACGTCGCATATTGACCGCCCGTGAGCCTGGAACCATTAGCGCGGCCCGCACGGATCATCCAGGCGAACATACGATCCTCCGATGATTTCCACTTTTCTCTTAAACGCTGGCGGTTTCGTGAGGTGGTCGTCGACGTCAACGGAGGCTCCGGCGATCTGGACTGTGCGGGGGGTAAGCGGAGAAGCGATCGTCGGTCGGGTGTACTCATCCTATGCCCCAGTTTGTGACTGCGTTTGTCAGTATTACTTTCTTTCCATTCAAAGAGCAATGTCCCAGGAATAGACACACCTCTCATCTCAAAGATGTGGTCTCCATCGCCGGGTAACTCTTCATAGTGTGTTCCCTCTCCGACAAATTGGTACGTCGCGTCCGCGGTGACATTGGTAAAAAGCCAGTCGAGCGTTCCAATCCTGCAACCGATTATTACCAGCCCATTCCGTCCGATTTCACCGAAATGCGTACCGGTAAGCGACGAGCGTTCCCTCGCTAGTGTGTTCACCGAAACTCAGCGCAAGCTAGACAGGCAGAAACATTATTATCGGAGCGGTTCGAAACAAGCGAATGGATGACAGCGAACCTTCTTCCCCAAGAATTGTAATTTGAGCCCCGGTGCTCTGGACCAACGAGAGTTAGTGAGTGAACGACGAAGCGGAGGACGTAAGGAGCGGGAGCGGAGAGACAGTAGACACACGACCACCCTAGACAAACAACCAGTCAGTTAGCGGACCCCAATCATCATCGGAAAGGGAAGAGACGTACAAGAAATATGTTTGCTATCCCACCTCCCCTTATAAGAGATCTCAGGCGCATCGGCATCATAACTCCGCCAACTGCTATCGAGGTCGATGGTCGACAGCTGCCCGGGCCACGGATCAAGACGCGGCTGGCCATTCTCCATGATCGTGGCCGAAGCCATCGACGCAAGGCAAGCCAGCGTCAAAAAGAAACGAAACCACATTATCGCAGTGCAGCAGCGGTCGGAAACGAGCGAAGGTCGGCGACGGGGACGGGGCGGCGCGACATGAGAAGGAAGCCAGCTGGACTGAATGGGAAAATTCAATGGCGGAGTCCCGACTTCTGGAGGTCAGGGTCCAGCGAGTGAGAGTCCGAGTGCGACTGGCCATCAGGAAGAGCGCTAGCTGATGACGCGATCGGCGATAGGCTGGCCCTATGGGGCGGAGGGCAAGAACACCAGTGAGAGGGAAAGGGGGGACACTGTTCATTTCCCCGCTGGGTCAGGGGCCTTCCTGGTTGGCGAACGAGCCTGCAATCAATTGGGCGGCCTGGTCCGCTTGTCTTAGCCCGCCCGTCTGCCTGGGCTTGGCGGCCCCTGAATCTGCGAGCGAGCTACGAGATACGTCGAGTTTGATACAGATTTAAATTGATAGATGTAGCTTTCTTGATTGACTTTCGAGCTCATTTAACCTCAAACCTTGCTAGAGTGCACTGCATCTGATTAGTGGGAAATGCAGCCTCATCCCAATGTCACGTGGAGCAATCAGTCAGCGAGCATTCTGACTAATCTCCTCTCCGCCCGGCAGATCCCCGCCTCCTCCATCACAGATTCACAGCTTCGAAACCATCCCCTCCCTCATACTCCTAACATCCAACTCCTGCGTCCACGTACTCCGTGGCTGGCTATACAACCACCAATAAATCTCCGCCAAATCCTTCGGCTGCATAAGATACAGCTCTTTCTCAGCCAACTTCGTCGCCCCCCCTCCTCCCCCTCGCGTTCCCAGCGCCTCCTCACAACCCCACCAACAAGGTCACTCTCAACCGGCCCATCAACAATAACATGCGCGGCATGGATCCCACTCGCCTGAAACTCCCTCGCAATAATCTGGCTCAGTGAGCGGAGCCCAAACTTCCCCGGCGAAAACGACGACACCCCCGCGTTCCCGCGGATCGAGCCCGTCGCGCCCGTGAAGAGGATCGTCCCGCCGGAGTTGGCGAGCATATCAGGGAGGACACATTTGGCCGCGAAGAAAGCGCCGAAGAGGTTGATGCGCGTGAAGTTCTCGAACTCGTCACTTGAGGTCTCGAGGATCGTGCGCGGTGTGAAGCGGCGCGAGCCGGCGTTGTAGATGAGCACGGCGACGGGGCCGAGGTCGGACTTTATCGCGGTGAAGGTGGATTGGAGGGAGGGTTCGGAGCGCGCGTCGGCGACGTAGTACTTTGATGCATTCTGGCCGAGATCGTCGTTGATGGTTTGCTGGATTTTGGCCAGCTTGGATTCTGTCCGTGCGATTAGAGCCACGGCGAAGCCCTTGCTTGCGAAGTGGTGGGAGACGGCTTCGCCGATTCCGGGGCCGACGCCTATCACGGCGAGGACGGGCTTGGAGGTGGGGTTTGACGACATTATCTGAGATAGTTGTATGTGCGTAGATGGACTTCCAGTCGTAGTGTTAGATATCGCAGGTAAGGATGCGGACTGTGGGGTGATATAGGTCGGTCGGAAGCCGAGGCTGGACGCCAACCTTGAAGGGAATCGGATTACTGATCATGCCTCGGGCTGGATCAAGGTACGTCAACATCACGGCCAACGACGCAATATCAATAATAAGCCTTCGTGTGTTCAAAGATAATTGCTTTTCGATCGTCTAATTTCAGATCGATTGGTCAAGGTAGGGAAGTTGGAAGGGTGAATGCTGTTGGAGTATATGGACGGGCTATATAGCCAATCAGGTGGTTTTTATGGTCTAGTGGTATACGCGAACGAATGCCACTCTCAATCAGAAATATATATCTACTGATCGATAGCAACAGGAGTCTGACCCGCCCATGCCATGCGAATAACCATATCTGAACGTGATTTTACTTGGAGAAAGTCTCCACAAACCAGACCAATGAACTCTTCATCTCACAACAGGCCCCAACCAATCTTTAAGACGCCGCCTGATACTCGGTCTAGGCTGATAAAGGTCAATATCATAAAAGACAAAAAAAAAAGTAAGTGACGAGTGACTGGGCACAAGTGAAACGCCAACCTATGGACATGGATGTACGTACCAGCTCTGTGTCCTGCAATACACCAAGAATCAGCGGTTCCAGCCTCTCACGACGGTCAAAATGTCGGCCTCGGGGGTTCGCAGCTTCAAGGAGAATCTGATACGCGACTGTGTTCCCGGAAGCCAGGGCTTCGTCCATCGCCGTCCTGCCTGCATTGTCGCGGCATTCCACCAAGCGCATCAAGGCGCGGGTTCCTAGAGTGCCGACGATTTGCTCGTTAAGTAGAAGCTCGATGACTTCTGTCTGCCCAGCAGGCATGGAACGATAGTGCTCCTGGTGGACAGTACTAACAGCATAGTGGAGCACCGTTTTACCATCACTGTCGACATCAAATATACTTGCCCCCCGGCTAAGCAAAAGCTGAACGAGTGTGGGATGGCCGTGCGCTGCGGCAAGATGCAGCGCTCTACAATCCCAATGATCGCTTGCATTGACGCTGACACCGCGGTCGAGCAGAAATTGGACGAAATGGGAGTTTCCTGCGGCGGCTGCTGCGAGGAGGGCGGAACTTGCTTCGGCGTTGAGCTGGTCGATGGTGGTGATGCGCGTTAGAAGAGCCTGGGCAACATCAATGTCGTCCTGCTCTGCTGCGATGTGGAGGGCTGTCCGACCCGCAGCGTCGGTTTCGCCGACAGAACTACCGTGGTCTAGGAGGAGCTTGACCACATCGCTGTCCAACACAACTGCTGACATATGAAGAGCGGTCATACCGGAACTACCTCGCTGTGATGGATCAGCTCCATGTTCAAGCAAGAGTCTGCAAGCGGCGAGTGAGCCCTGCGCGTGGCCCTTGGAGACGGCGTGATGTAGGGCTGTCTCGCCGTCGGAGCTTGGTTTGCAAACATCCACGCCATGCGACAGCATGGTCTCGAGGCATGATGTGCTGCGTGCAACGGCGGCGAGTTGAAGGGCCGTCATGCCATCGTCATTCTCGGTGTGGACGTCGGCGCCCATTTGCAATAACAGCTTGACCGCGCTGCGGCTCCAGGGTAACTGGACCACATTGCAGAGGGAAAGGTTGTTACCATTTGCACTTGAGAGCCTCATGTGGTCCAGCAATCCCCCTCTAAGAGGCAATGGCTGCAACGCCGCCCAGTAGAATGCAAGATGAGGGTTTTCAGCTTCACCTATGTGGAGCACGTGGTATATGATGTCTTTACCATCACTGTAAGCTTTCAAGAAGTCGAGCGAGCATATCGACTCAAGCAGCGCACGCAATTTTCTTGACTCAAGCGCTGCTGCCCAACACCGCGCAAAGGCCAAGTTCTCTCTGATTTTGATTCCGAGGGCGTCGATCGCTTCGTAACAATCGCACGGCCTCTCGAAACATTGTTTGGTCCGAACATCCAGCTCCCCGAAGTTATCGCTATAGTAAGTCCAGATGATCCTTTGGAAGGAAGACTCGTCCGCGGGGCGATCATGGGCTTGGTAGTAAGAAGCCAGTGCCTGGGCTCTATCAATAGTCTCCTGGTCGTTCTGCCCAAATAGACTCAATGTTTCTTCGTACGCTGCCTTGAGCCCCCATTCCTCATCATCCAAATCTGGCGGACACATGGCACTTTCTGGAGTCATTTTCGGGGCTGACTGTGCAGTGATGGCTCGCTGGGCATTTCTCTGAAGAAGTTCCTCCTTCTCACGAACTTCTCGCAGGAAACCAGCGGCTCGAATGGCGGTTTCAGTGAAGCCCCGATGCTCGGCCCAGGTGACAGCTAACGAGTATCTTTCAATTGCACTGTGGAGGTTGCCAACTCTGTAACTGATCTCGGCGGCTTCCATCATGTCCTGAACGTGCGTTTCACATGTAGGTGGGCATCCACCAGTCGCGAGAAACCTGGCTTGCAGCAGAAGAGTCCAAAGGTCGGCCGCAGCATCCATCCTTCCTTGACTTTGGCATACCCTAGCGTATAAGTGGGCGAATGAGGCACAAAGCTCAAAATATCTGCCGTTGGGCGGCTGGATCATCTCATTAGGGACGTGAGTCAAGAAAAGATCGAGCACGTAGCTTAATCTTGCCATGTGTGAAATCAAAAAAGAATCATTTGTTTTGCAGCCAGTACCATAAAGCCCCTGTCCGTTGAGGAAATATGACGCAGCTGACATGTCCACCGTCTCTTGCAGCGTCATTTTGGATCTTACGAACGCCAATGCTAGGCCGTGCAAAGAAACACTGTCGATGATACTGTCATCTGGGGTTCGATAGAGTGAGAGAAATCCTGTAACCTCGAGCTCATCAAGCACCGTCGCAAACCTGATGGCGTCCGAGCGGAGACTAGTCAGCCAGGGTACAATCGGTGGAATTGAGTTTGTGAGCTCTGCGACATCCCCTTGGTCGACTTGCTTGCCGTATATGATGTCGAACGGTATCCGTCCTCGTCCAAGGAAAGCAATCAGGTGAAGAATCCGAATAGCATCTGGGCACTTGTCCTCTAGCACACAGTAAAGCATGTCAAAGCTTGTCCAAACAGTGCGGTTCTTGTCATAGGAGCCCATGAACTTTCTCGTAGGGGTCTTTAGAGTTATGTTGCTATACCGCGATTCAAATTCCTTGTTGTATTCACCCAGAGGTATCAGGCCGTATGACAAGAAAGACCCTGCTTGCTCTATGGCAAGTGGCATACCTCCAAGTTTGCGTGATATGTACCTAGCCGAGCGTTCGGCTGAATGGATTAGTGAAGCTCAACAAGACCTCATAGTTTGACTGACCAGCCGGGTTTGTAGTTTTGCTTCTTGCGCATCTCAAGAGCATATTTGCTCCGGTTTGTTCATCGAGCCCTTCCACATGAATGGCAGGAAGCCCCAGTCGCAAATGCAGATCAGAAGAGGTAGTGACAAGTAGTATGTGGCCATGAGCGCAGCGAGGGAAGAACGAACGTATGTCAAAGTCGTCAGCCTGGTCAGATTCATCCCCACTTTCAATTCCGTCAAAAACCATTATCCACGACTGGTTCGTATCTTGTTCGAGCCAGTCCAGTACTAGGCCGCTACCCCATTGACTTTGATACTGAGGCCTTAATTGAGCGGAAAATTCCCGGAAAGTCTGTTCGATCGTCGAGAGCGAAGAACCATCAATCCACAGTATGAACCCGTACGTTGACTGATGGGCTGTAATATAGTGCAGGGCTAGTTGTGTCTTGCCGTATCCACTATTGCCCCATATGGTTACAGTCTGTCTAGCCGACGCTGAGTTACTAAAGTGCTCGTCAAGCTGTTGGAGCTCAGATTGACGGCCAAAGAAGACAGAGGTTGAGATGGGAAGTTTTGACCGGATGCTCTGCGCACCACCGGACCCCGAATGTGCAATTGTCTTCGGCATCAAGAGCAATATCTCTCTGGCATACGCTGCAGCGGTAGCGGCTGCGTAGTCCTGCCATTGCTTGTTCTTGTGCGAGTCTGAATAGTCGCAGATGCCTCGGATGACCAGACAAGGAAAGCGATCCATCAAACCGGCGGCTTCCATCTCGAAGCAGAGAATCCCCATTTCAGCAGCGAGCTTATCGCGCAACTGGCCGTCTTTCATGACCTGATTTGCCGAAGCGATAAGACCGTAGTGGATGTCGGGCGCTGTGGAATTTCGTGAAGAACGTATGAGTTCAAATGTTCGATCACAGCCGGCACATGAGCCCTTCGTTTGGTGAACATATGACGGATGGAACAGGACATCGTGAGAGGCGCCAAGATAGGTAAACATGTCGTTTGTTGAGTTTCCAGTACTCGGAGGGCTGTTCAAGAAGGCAGACATTTTGTTCAGGCGGATTTTATGCCGTGCTCGCAAATTGGACACAGCCGTCAACAAGGCCTCGGGGGGCTTGTTCAGGGTTCCCGTGCGTTGAAAACCCCCATCTGCCAACGTTTTCCCGAGGTCATATTGTACCACACCTGGAAACCGATCGGTCGGTGTGCTAACAACGACGTCTCCTAGACGGATATCAATTCCCTCTCTTGGTGCTCCCCCGCCAATGCCGACCATGAGCCCGATCTCAATTGAGGGAAAGGTGAGGAGCATCTGCTTTGCAACGATCGCGGCGGAGGTAGTCCCGTAGACGCCGGTCGGAAGGCATGCGATGACGATATTGTGGGTTCCGATCTCGCCGAGGTGGTAGCTGTTATGGTCGCCTCGGGGCTGGGGAAGCGGGGCATGGCTGTCGTCGAGCATGGCCATCGCGGCGGCCATCTCGAGCGGCAGGGCGCTAATCCAGCCGATGGTGTAGTCATTGCGCGTTAGTCGTCGCTTGGAGGAAGACATTGTTCATTGCGAAGTCTCTGCCGCATCGCTGGATGTTGGAGGAAGCAAGAAGGAAGGAAACAGCTCGAGATGTGAGGCTGAGTCCTGCAGCTGCAGCCTTGTCATTTTCCTTTCCTGGAATTGGCCGACGAGGCGCAGAACTGACCAATCAGGTTGAGAGGCCATCATAGCACAAGTAAGCGCTGGGGCAGACATGCCTGGGGGTTGACGAACATGAGCAGAGTGGTAAATCACCACTTCGCCGGTGGCGGAAAGCATGGAAGGCCATTACGAGATGCTCCTTCCTTAGTAGACCTATCTACCTAGTCCACCGCGCCTTCCCGTTCTGGCATACAGCAGGGCCAGGTCTCGAGAATGGGTCAACACGGGATGGCTTTCGTGGAATGGCGGCCGGTATAGGCACCGGTCCAATTGCCTATAGTACCGGAGATACTGAGAATTAGGACTATTCCGAGCGGTTCGGGACGAGCCTCCGTCAACTGCCAACCAATCTATTCTTAGCACCGGATGTTTGCTGCGAAAGTATACTTAGTAGACCTCAACTCCATTGAGCCTTCTAACCAGTCTTTCTTGATAATCCTCCATTACCAATCCTCTATTACCAACGTTCTCTTAGTAATTCTCTCTTACCAATCCATCCTCTCTTAGCAAGCCTCTCTCAGCACACCCAGCTATAAAATCTTCCTTTTTTTCTCTTTCTCTCCATCCCTCCTCCATCTCTCCTACATCCTTCCTCTATTTTCCTCTTCCTCTTCCTCTTCCTCTTCTTCTTTCTATCCTACGACTCTCCTTCTCCTTCTCCCTATCCTCTCCTTTGTATCCTCTTCCCTGTATCTCCTCTTTTGTATCCTCTCTTCCTATCTTCTCCCTTGTATCCTCTTCTTTGTATCCTCTCCTTTGTATCCTCTCCTTTGTATCCTCTTTTCCTCTCTTCTCCCTCCTATCCTCTCCTTTGTATCCACTCCTTTGTATCCTCTCCTTACCATCCTCCTCCTACACCTACCCTCCCTTACATTCCCCTTCTTCTTCCATGCCCTGGTTGGGTGGCTGGGCGGGCATGGGTCTCACCACTTCCACGAACTCCCTACTTCCATACCTGGTTCCGTCCTCCTCCAGGTTCTACATTTTATTACCACGACCACCTCATTTTCCGCTGGTGTCTTCCCCCTCCAGCACTTCTTTATATTACGATAGCACCTCCCGCTGCTGGTTTCAACCTCCTCCAGTTTCTCTTCCTTCCGATAGCACCTCCCGCTGCTGGTTTCGACCCCCTCCAGCATTTCTTCTTTCCTATAGCACCTAAGTCTGCTGGTTTCGTCCCCTTCCAGCGTTTCCTGTCTTCCGATATCACCTCTTCTGCTGGTTCCGTCCTCTCCCAGCATGCTTTGAAATCCGATATCACCTCGTCTGCTGGTTCCGTCCTCTTCCAGCATGCTTTGAAATCCGATATCACCTCTTCTGCTGGTTCCGTCCCCTTCCAGCATGCTTTGAAATCCGATAAACCCTTCCACACTCCGGCCGGTTCCGTCCTCCACCGGCTTACCCTTTGCCACGCTTACCTCACCTTCCTGCTGGTCCCGTCCCCTTCCAGCTCCTCACCCACGCCCTGGTTGGGAGGCAGGGACGGGCCTGGGTCTCACCACTTCCACGCACCTCTTCTCCTGCTGGCTCCGTCCTCCTCCAGCCCATCTCACCACTTCCACGCACATCTTCACCTGCTGGTTCCGTCCTCCTTCCAGCCTATCTCACCATTTCCACGCACATCTTCTCCTGCTGGTCTCGTCCTCCCCCAGCCCATCCCACCACTTCCACGCACCTCTTCACCAGCTGGTTCCGTCCTCCTCCAGCCCATCTCACCACTTCCACGCACCTGCTCTCCTGCTGGTTCCGTCCTCCTCCAGCTCCATCCTTATTCTCTTTCTTCCGACCCTTCCAACTTCCTCGCATGCCCTGGTGGGTGGTAGGGACGGGCACGGGTCTTCCAACCTTCTCGCATCTTCTGCTGGATCTGTCATCCTCCAGCTACCAAACCTTATTCTCCTTTCCGCATACTTCCGTCCTGCTGGTTCCATCCCCCTCCAGCATCTTCCACCACAGTGGTTCTACCCACATCATTTCCTCACAGCCTCGATGACACATGGATGGGCATCCCCGGGCATCGGAATGCAGGGAAGTGACCAAGAGGCTTAGTTGATCTACCTCACTGACCTTAGTAATCCCTCGTAAGAACGTAGCGCCAAGTACTAGTTATTTTCTAATGACCCAACTGCAAGGACAAGCTTGATGGCACTGCTTAAGCCCGCGGCCGACCCATCGTGTCGATAGTCGATACTCAGCCCAACGCCTCGAGGGAGTCCGGGTAAAGACACCCCACCTGGGCGTAGAGCTAGTCACACGGTTGTTCAACCCGGTGGCTTGGGCGCCGCTGGCAGGCTACCATCGGGACTGAAAAGCACCACGCGTACAGCAAAGAAATCCAGCCGCACTGACAAGGGTGTACCGTAAACTTCCCATATATCGAAGCTAGGCCTGCGCCTATCGCTTGTCCACACCATTGACCCTGCACGACAGCAGGGATTGCGGCTTATTGTACAGCACACTGCACAAGGGGCCAGTGCATTGAATAGGCTTGATGATGCATTCAGCTTACGCGTTGCATACTCCGTAAACCAGCTCTTTCGTCCGAATAGCCGATTAGATCGTGAAGCATCTCCGGGAATCGCAATGGCCGCCAAGGTACCATACCTAGATAACAGTGTGCAAGAATCTAGAATCGTCCTCTGAGTGGTCGTGAAGTGAGATATCTCGGAAAGATCAGTCCCAACGAGTGGAATCGATTCTGCTCAGGCTACAGGCAAGGTCCAGGCTGTAGGATAATACAATGTACGTCAAAGACATGGCTGGGCAGAGGTAGAATACCCAGGGCATCAAGGTCAAACGTCGCTTCAACAACAAGGTGAAACTTGCATCCTCAAATGCTTCATGCAAAGCGTGTACTATGTCAAGTTTCAATCCAACCCCATGAGCACGAGCATAAAGGCTGGGTCCAAGCGGTGGCACGCACGACATCCATGAAATCGTCTTTTTCCCTAGGTGGGACAGAGTGTTTTGCCCACGGATCACCTCGTATAAGAATGCAGGTGGGAGAAAAATGAATGAGCCCTCAGCCGTTCCGCCGAAACCAGCAACTTTACTTGCTGTTGAGTCAGATGAGCCTTTCGATGCCGGCGTATTCCTTGCGCTCCAGAGCAGTCAAGTCCCAGGATCCCGCGGTACTTGAAGGTTAGCATTAAGGTAGCACTCTGCCTGCTCAAAAACTCCGTGCATATGTACGGCCGTTGTATAGAATGTCGGATCTCGCACAGATCTGGAGGTGCAAAGTGCCTGAGCCTCTGTTTGTCAGCCCCGCCACGGCTCGGAATCAACTTGCTAGAAGTTTGTATGGGCGTTTGACTGCTGGTGTTCATTAGGTAGTCATTTCCTTAGCAGGGATATCCCAGTTCTCTTTCCATCCACCAAACTTTATGGTCAGCTTACTACAGCAGTGAACTGATTGGTTGTGAGTCCGGGTCTTGAATCCAGGCAGTGTCATTGGATTGTTTTCGTCCTTGTGACAATTATATATTTTCGGTCTCTAGAGCAAAGCCAAGCAAGCCCGAGAAGAGGGATACGGATTTCCAACCATCCCAATCCACCCAACCAGTTCAGTGACCTTAACTTGCTATACTCTTCCTCCAACCATTCTAATACCTAGCCGACGAATAAACCGGCCTCGCCGCCACCGGCACAGCCGGCCTCGAACTCGGACACGTCCTCTCATCAAGCTCAATCGCCTCATCCTCCACAGTCCACTGCACAGAGCGAAGAATCTGCATCCCGCTCGGCCCCTCCTCGCTCTCCTCCCTAGTCCCAACAAGCCGTGCCCGATCCCCTGCACCCTGGCCAAAACTAGCACTATGGCTATGGCTATGGCTATAACTCCGACTCTTCTTCCCGACCGACGGGGACTCACTCGACACCCCCGTCCCGCCGGACCTCTTGTAGCCGGACGCGCGCGCATACCGGTCCGTATACGAGACGCCGTCTTTATCCTCGTAGACGGCGATGATGAATTTCAGCGACGAGGTGATTTGGCACACGATGCTGAGGGAGAGGTAGATTTCGGTGCTGGTTGTGGCGTATGCGCCGATGAGGACCGGCGAGCGCGCGGTGAGTTGGCGCTTGATGTAGTAGAGGCGGAGGGCGGAGAGGGGGATGAGGCTGGTATCATTATGAGTATGTTGCAACTGGAGAGGGAAGACGGGAGAATGAGGGAGGAAGGGGCATACACGATGCGGCATCCCAGCGCCAGGAAGACGACGAGTTTCTTCTTCGGCGAGATCTGGACCGTGCTTACTGCCCAGCCGGAGTAGGCGATCAGACTGATTTCTGTGATGATGTCGAGGGCTGTTATGGATTGCCAGCGGGGCCACTGTTGTTTCTTAGAGAGCCCGAACGACAGAGATGAAGGGGAAGGACATACTAGGCCGTCGCATCGTGCACTGATATCGTACCATGGGTCACTGCTGCACCGGATCGCGACGAGGAATATAGATAGTGCCGTCCAGGTTATCATCGCGACGAGGATGGTTCGGATGACGCGGCGCGGTAACTGGGAGAAGAGCGCTTCGTAGAATAGGCAGGTCGATATCTTGGACAGGCCTAGGGCGACGATGGAGAGGATGTCGGCGGCGTATCCGGTCTGAACAAATCAGAGAAGACATAGCAAACAGGTACAGAAGGGCATACCTTGAGCATCCCCTCTACATCCCGGCCCGAACTAGGGCGCAGCCGAGTCCCCCAGCCATAATGAACCTGGGCTAAGACAACCGACGCCTGGGTGACTGCTATAGCCTGTCGGTCTCGGTTATCAGACCCAACCCCATACTCCGTACCTGACCAGATAGTGAGAGGATGGAGCTTACCACCAGCACAGCAAACGCATAGTCATCGCGCTGCACGATCCGCTTCCGATGCAGCGAAAACACCCTCGCCGAAACACTCGCCAAGATCAGCACGACGTAAAACGAGGTGAGGACGACGACGAGCCCGCTGTGGTCGTTCGCGTTGTCGGCCGTAAGCGGGGCCCTCACGCCGGGCGGGAAGGTCATGGGGATGGAGACGGAGGTCGACATGACGAATTACCTGGTGGCATGGACGGAGAGCGGAGCTGGAAAAGAGAACAGACGCATAGCACGAGGAGGGTCAGCCAAGGTTTTAACGAACAGCTGGGCTCACGTCACAGCCTCGCAGGAGCGCTCCGGCTGGAAAGGCACAGGAATGGATTCTGCAGGGAGAGGTTTGCTTTTTACGTCGTTGCGAGCATGCTGACTGCCAGTGCCAGGGCCAGTGCCAGTGCCAGGGGCGAGGTAGGACTGCGAAGAGGGGTCCTGCAGATGGGCGAATCGAGATCTTGAAGAGTCGAGTCCTCGTGGGCAAAGAGGGGTTGGGCCACGAGCTGGACTGTGGTGGTTGCGAAATGAGCCGGACGGTGACACGCATTCCTTTGCTCGCATCCCTTCACTTGCCGGGCGTGGCTGAGCCAGCCAACGGCCTTGCGTTGTTGAGCGTATGGTTGCACAGGGTCGGAGCAAGGGGAGAAGTAGTCTTTTTCGAGCAGGCCGATCTTCAACTTGGCCAGGACTGTTAAATTGCGAGCCTCGTGGCCTGGACCAGATCCATACTCCGCGCCCGGGCAAACCCTAACTCTGGATGTCTGATGCAGTGCCATGGCTCCGCGACACAGCGATCGGCCCTGATAAGAGGCTAGCGAAGTTTGCCAGGTTGATCAGACCAGGAATGAGATGACTGCTGCAGCTCCAAGCCAGTTGTGTTACCCAAGCTTCCTTGGCGGTTGCTGTGGCAGCCAATACAAAGAGCCAGCCTCCTCGCCAGCTCACTCTCTCCCTCCTTCACTGGCCTCCACTCGCCTCCAGTCGCCTATCTCGGAGCATTCACGTTCCTTGCCGTGTGGCTGCCCCTTGCTTCCAGGCTGACTCCCCGTCCCATTCTGACCCCGTTCCCCTTGCTCTTCTCCCCGTCCTTATCTTACTCTCCCCTGCCTCTGGTCGCAACACAGCACAAAACGTGGTTGACTGCTTACCATGCAGGCTCTCCCCAAGCCATCCCAGATGGGGGCCATGGACATCGAGGTCCATCCCCAGGTCAACAGTCAGGATGGAATGAGACAGAGAGGGACTGTGCTGGACGACACCGACATGCACCGCATGGGAAAGGTCCAGGAATTGAAGGTGTGTTCACATTACAATCTGATTGTCAATGCCATTCTAACCCCACACTCTTTCCTAGAGGAACCTCCGCCCGGTCGCGGCACTGAGCTTTGCCTCTGTCTTACAGGCGACCTGGGAGTTTGTGTTGATGTGCGACCTCTTCCCGTTCCCCGTCCGGATAGAGACAACTGACTTGCGATGCCGATAGATCCAACACCCAGGGCTTGGAAAATGGCGGACTCGCTGGGATGTGTTGGTCGATGGTCTGGACATTCGTCGGCTTTGGATTCATCATCGCGTCGCTGTCGGAGATGGCCTCGATGTACGTCTGCCAGTCTACTGTATCCTCTGCTCTACTAACCAAGTAGGGCACCGACCTCTGGCGGGCAATACCACTGGGTCTCCGAGTTCTCGTCGCCCCGTTACCAGAAGTTCCTCAGCTACATCACCGGTACGAGTCCCTCCTCCTCACCGAGAGCCCACTAACCATTCTCGTCTAGGCTGGATGTCCGTCCTCGCCTGGCAGGCCGGCTCCGCATCGGGCTCCTTCCTCACCGGCACGATCATCCAAGGCCTCATCACGATCCGCAACCCGGATTACGTCCCCGAGAGCTGGCACGGCACGCTCTTCGTCTTCGCCATGATCCTCGTCATCTACATCTTCAACGTCTACGCCGCCGACGCCATGCCCGTGCTCAATAACATGCTCATGATCTTCCACGTGCTCTCGTGGTGCGTCATCCTCATCGTCCTCTGGGCCATGGCGCCGCATCGCACCGCCAAAGCAGTGTTCACCGAATGGTCGAACCAAGGCGGCTGGAGCAGTCTCGGCCTCAGCGCCATGATCGGCCAGATCAGCGCCATCTACGGGAGTCTCAGTACGTCCCTTCCCAACCTCTCCAGATCCATCCTAACAGCCCCCGCCCACCTCCAGGCTCCGACGCAACCGCCCACATGTCCGAAGAAGTCAGCAACGCCGGCCGCAACGTCCCCCTCGCCATCGCCTGGGGCTACTTCACCAACGGCATCATGGCCATCATCCTGCTAATCGCGTACCTGTTCTCGATCCCGTCCGTCGACGACGCCCTGTCCGACGAAACCGGCTTCCCGTTCCTGTACGTCTTCAAAAACGCCACCTCCACCGCCGGCGTCAACGGCCTGACCTCCATCATCCTCATCCCCGTGATCTTCAGCAACATCTTCTTCAACGCCTCCACGTCCCGCCAGACCTTCGCCTTCGCTCGAGACCGCGGCCTCCCCTTCGCCTCGTGGATCGCCCGCGTCGACCCCCGCCGCAAGATCCCCGTCAACGCGATCTTCCTGTCGTGCGTGATTTCGTGCCTCCTCTCGCTCATCAACATCGGCTCCGAGACTGCGTTTAATGCCATTATCTCGCTGAATGTCGCTGCGCTGATGTACAGCTATATCATCTCGATCAGCTGCGTGATCTACCGAAAGGTGTGGTGTCCTGAGACACTGCCTGCGCGGCGTTGGGATCTGGGGGCCTGGGGACTTCCGGTGAATGTCGTCGGTTTGGTGTACTCGTGCTTCGCGCTCTTTTGGAGTCTTTGGCCTGGCGAGAGGCATGTTACGGCCGAGACGTTCAACTGGAGTGTTGTCATCTTCGGCGGCGTCTTTTTGATTAGTCTTGTGATGTATGTGGTGAAGGGGCGTCAGGAGTACACGGGCCCGGTGGTAATTGTGCAGAGGGAGAGGGTCGAGTAGGAATCTGCAACCTACGTTGGGTAGTCTTCAATGTTCAAGGTATCGTGGAGTCCTCCGGACCTTCCGGATTCCCATTTCAAAAGTCAAGACCATGTAACTTGCTACAAAGGGCCTGTCATGTATCACTTGATAGGGAATGCCATTCAGGCAAAATCAAAAATGGTCAAGAGTTCACAGATTCGTTCCTCTTTCTACGTCGACCAGATGGAGCCTCGCACACGAGGAGCCGCCGTAACTCAAATGATAAGCGTCCAAGTCCCTCCAACAGTTGCACCTGATAATTGAATATCTACTCCAATCTACGAAGAGCACTACGCCGACAAGCCGATTTTCGATCCCTGCAAGTTCCCCCGCGCCCCGGAGGACGCGTCCTACGATGCAATGACGAAGCGCCACATAACCATCTAGAACAGATGGTGCGGCTCGTCCTGCATCCGAGACGGGGCGGCGGCACTGACGAGGCGAATGCCGGCCTGTATACCTGGGGATACCTAACGCGCCGGCGGTCCCTGAAGAGGGCTGCGCGGTGGTGGATGCAGAACGGGTATTGCACCACGGCCGAGCGGCTAGCTGGGGGGTAGGGGGGTGTTTCAGCGAGGAGCCCCGGATCTAGGACACCTCTTGACGGCCGCGGGGAGGAAGGACTCGGTCTTGGTGGCGTACGGGCTCGTGCCTGGCAGCAGCCCTGCACCGCGCTGCCTCGGACCCGGACCTCTCCCTCCCATCTCTCCAGCTGCTTCGCGGCGCATCGTCGGCGTTCTTCTGCTCGAGCACGTACGGACCTGAAGGCGCGGCTCTCTGCGTCCAGAGACCAAATGTTTTCTCGGGAGCCGCTTTGGCGTCAAGGTTACAAAGTGGGATTGCTTCTTTGCGTTGGACTGTTCGGATGCGGTTGGGTTGCTGAATGGGATTTGGAGATGCCGGATATCCTTTGGGACATTGGGGCCGTGAGAGAGTTTGCTTGTTTATTATGGTTCAGTTGTTTGATGTTCATTGTTGGTTCGCCAGTATTTGCCCTGGTAACCTCTACTTATGACAGTGTTCCAACTCTGCTCTCTATATTCTTTAGTTTTCTACGCTGTTTGTCTATTAATATACGCTCTTTACCTCCCTCAACATTGATTTGCTATATCCCAAGAGAGCTGCCTCTTTCTAGCCTGTACATATCCTTCTCTATAGACATCCGCATTTTCAGCTGGTATTATGTTAACCATAGATATTTTCCCCGCGACGGGTTATGAATTCAGGCAGTGGGCAGTCTGCCAGACGTCATCATGCCTGATACAGTGTAAGCAATGTGTGATTACGCCTTCTCAGCATGAACTAATGCAGTGATTCTGTATTTGCTTTTCTTCCTCCAGCACGCAGCCACTGATATGTAACCTGTCAAGTTCATGAAGCCCATACTTAACCAATTAGACTTGCACACATTGTCAAGAGCCCTTGACCAAGGTAAACCGCAGACGTCTAAATGGACGACAGCCCTCTGTATGCCCCTCACCAACATCGCGGATCATCTGACAGTAATGACCGCATTCCGCAGGGCCATGCATATAAAGCAACAAGTTTCCAGCTCAAAGCGCAATGACCCGTACCTAGTTACGCCAATCTAGATCTTGCAACACAAATGGACACCCTCCAGGCAAAATGGTCCGCCCTCGTCGAAACATACCCCCCTCACACAATCGAATTCCTCGGAACCCTCACCATGCAACCATGCAGGCGCTGGGGGGGGTTGTGATACCGTATCAGCACGCCCACATTCGTATCCGCCGGCTGATACATATCAAAGCTCAATATAGTCGAAAAGTCATATTTAATAAGATTTAAACTATTAAAATTAATATATATTTAATAATAATACACATTATTATATAATAATTTATATTTATAATAATATATATTAGTAAGCCTAATATATATTAGTAA